CCGGAGGCGACCTTCCCTGGCAACCGTCTGCCCTACAGTCTTGCAGCCCACCTTCAGGGCCTATACCAAGCCAAGCCTGGTTCTGGGTGTCGGAACTGCAGGGTGGACGAGGGACCGACCTCCCGGGTCTGTAGTCTCTACCTACAGTCGGACACCTTTTTGTGGAACCATGTGATTGGTCTGCCGCACATTCGCGGCAATAAGGACCTAGCTGTCAAAGAGATTGCCTCAATCTTCACCCAGCATGTCCAGGGGGCTCAGGCTATTTACCAGCATGCCAACTTCACGGATTCTTCGGTTAGTCTCGCTAACCCGTGTGTATTTTGGATCATTAAGTTCCTCCTTTTGCAACAGGTTTCTTTTTCCAAAAAAAACGTTATTTGTCAACTTTGAACCCTTGTATACCACATCAGAATCTTCTGATGTTGGTTTGACCACCGACCCTCACTTCCCTCGTTTCCCTCATTATCGTCCTCGCCAGCATCGCAATTTTCATCGTTTTGACCGACTTTGCTATTCCTGAGTTTGATACAGGGTGTGTTGCATACGGCTCATTTACGAAGCAGGTAGCAGAACCTCTAAATGAAACACTAGCCGGTTGTTCCTGAGGAAGTTATGAATTAGTAAGTTCACAAAAAGGCAGCAAATATAGCAACCATAGGACATCTTTCCAGTAATTCAGTGGTAGATCGTTTTACTACATGACACTCAATGACCGAACAATGCAGATTCAAACCCCCAGGCTCCCCAGATCCGGGATTGTGTATGGCTGGCTGATGACGGCCGGACATGGCCATTTCAACCTCTCTTGTCTTTGACGGTAATACTATTCTGCCTACATTACCAGCCGCTGTGCGGTTGCTGGCGGGGCTCAAGATTTAGCCCCAAGGCACAACGGAAGGGGTATGTCCCGCAACACGACCAGTGAGCGTCTGTTTACTCGATTGCAATCGACAGGACCACAAGCCCGAGGTTCAATGTTTAGGGCGTTAGGCTTTTGACCAACATGTCTCAGGTTCGAACCTGGGGTTGGGTATGACCTACGCAAATATAAATGTGCGTCTCAAATAGCAGAGACCTCGCGAGGCCCAGATAATTGAATGGAAGAAGATGCGAAGGCGATTTCTGGGACCAGTCATTGATTCATCCGACATTTCGAACTCTCACGCGAGTCTATCGTCACGAACTACCAGATAGGCAGATAGTATTGCTGGCAAAGACAAGGAAGACTGGAATGACCATTTCTGGCTTATTAGCAGTCGTCAGCCGGTCATATCCAGACCCAAGTGGTGCCCCACTGGAGCCCCGAACTCTCGACCTTTTTGACCAGATTCAGGCGCCCTAACCATTTGGCCAGGAGTTCGTTGTCTAGCCGGTTTATGTCAGGAACTATTGACAGTCGTCGATGAATGTTCACCTGACCGCTAACCGGACTCATCTGTCCCGCTCTACCTTGGGTCTCGCCAGAGCCCCTGCTAGCCGTAATATCTGGTTGTATAGGCAGATAGTATTGCCGGCAAAGACAAGGGAGACTGGAATGGCTTAATGATTAGGGTGTTTGACTCTTCCAGGTTACCCATGCAGATTTGTTATATAGAAGATGAATTCCTCTTAACTTGCAAGCCCTAGGAACAGTCGAAAAAGTAGATTATTTCCAAAAATATTTAGTTCTCCTTAAGAGTTAGAAATATGGGGCTACCGATCGTTCGCCCTCAGTGCCAAACTAAAATTTTGCGACACTATCTCGACCAAAGTCGTCGGTGTCACCGCTTTCGCATGGTTTGTGCACAGAAGAGAAGGATTTGACGCCTAGCCGCGCCGTTTAGTATAAGTTCTGTTGTGTTGATTACCTTAGGGAACGCAAATGCCCATCTCCATTGTTTAAGAACTATATCGGCCGTTCAGAGGAATTTAGAATAACTTGGCGGGGAAGTTCTCACCGTAGTGTTTGGGGATGAAACAGTTTCAGTTGAGTCTCTTTGATCGATCCACCCTGATCCTGCACCTCTTGCCAGGCGACCCGGGGAAAACCCGATCTATTCAACTAAGATCGTCTTCTGGAATGCAGCAATGAGGTTTGATCTTGTTATTTTGTGCTATACACTTGAATACGTTAGTAATGATATGAATATAGTTGAGAACCCCTTGGATAGACTGTCGATAACCTATTAGGCTGCTGGAGGAGCGCCAGCTTATGTTAGTTATCCATCTATTACAGAGATTTCTTATCACCTGAATAAATGTGAATATCACTAGCAGCGTTCCAATCCCTCACAAGCGGACCATAATTGTTCCTCCTCAAGAAAGAATCATACCTCTTCTGAACTGTAAGATCTGTTTTGTGTGCACGTATATAGGTTCTAGCACTCATATGCCGTGTTTAGATTTGAATTCGACCCCTT